TTAGTAAATTCAATAGTGAGGGAAATTAAAGGACACACATTGATGATTTGTTTGCGGGAATATAAAGATTTAACTCCTGGATTTTACACCGTCAATAGTTTGAATCAATGACATTAATGACTGAATTTTAAAGAAGGTGAGTTATATTTAGATTTGATGTATTTCATGTGATTTATCGTCTGTAGTCACAGTCTGTTTTTCGCTTCTCTCAGGCAGCTGCTCGGCTCAGCAGCTCGTCGGCAGCCTCTTGGTTCTTTCACTCACTCTCCTCCCTGCTCTGATCTTTTTTCCTTCTCTGGGATTTGAACCGACAGCTCTCAGCTCGCACACAAAGCCCGTTTCCAGCCTCTACCCCCCCCTCCTCCCCCCCTCGTCTTCCTCCCCCGCTCTCTTCCTCCCCCCGAGGCGTTTCTCTCTCAGCGTTGTTTTGGAATACGTTAGATCATTGGCTCAGAGATCAGACAGTATTATAGATCTGATAGTCGCTGCAGGCACAGTGTGAATGTATGGCGGTGTTTATATTTATATACATCATCTTCATTATCATCATGTTCGTCCTGCTAACCTCCCATTTACTCTTTAAGTCCTCGGCTCGCTGCTCCGGGCTCCTCGCTGACGATCCAGACTGAAGAGGATGAGGAGTGGAGCTGTGATGTTTCTATCTGGGTCAGAGGAGGAACAGATTCATCAATGTGAACAGAGGAAATGATCTGATAGAAGGAGAGACTCTGACGTGCTCATGCTGCTTTTATTTCACTCATTTTTCCCCTTTAATGTAACCTTAAGTAGCATGAGATCCATGTTACTGTCACATATTAATTGTAAACTGATCAGAGATGCATCATTTATCTGTTCATTAAAATGTAGGCTGAGAGCTGAAAAAATTAAGTGATATAGCAACATGCAAAATTTGACAGCCTTCTGCAAGCCTTCATACTGTATGTTTTTGCATAATTACGCATCATAAGTACACACATGCAATTTTTAATTTTTATAAAGATTTATTTTTTGGGGCTTTTTGTGCCTTTAATGCAGAGAGAGGACAGTGGATAGAGTTGGAAATCAGGGAGAGAGAGCGGGGAATGACATGCGGAAGGGGGCCACGGGTGAAAGTGAACCTGGGCCTACCACTCGAGACGAGAGTCTCAACACATGGGACGCGCGTCCTAACCATTGCGCCACCAGTGCGCCCCAGCAATTTTTAATTTTCCATCAACTATTTATTTTACCCATTGATGTAAACAGATAAATGGTTTAAAAGTTGACATATTATCCTCCTTCTCCACCTTTTCAAACAGTCCCCTGTGGTCTAAATGAAACATCTGTGCTGTGCTTTGGTCAAAATATAACATGAATCAAGCACCAGAGGAGGTTTGTGACCCTGTATAAACCAGCTCTCTCAGAACGCTCCGTTTTGGTGTGTGTGTCTCTTCAAATGCAATGAGCACCCCCCCCCCCCCTGAGTTTTCCCTGTAGACATCACTCCTCTGTAGAGAGAATAAAAATGGTGGACCTGCGCAAAAGGGGAGGGGAGGATTTTTTTTTTTTTTACCAGAATCCCACTGTGACATCACAAGGAGAGCACATTTGAAACAGAGCATTTTTCTCTGTGTTGTAAGACTTATGCAGACCACAAACAAAGGACTGGATGGGTTTATTTTCCAAATTTACAGCAGTTACCCAAATATATGTTCAAAAACACAAGAGGATTTTTCAGGATATGTCGCCTTTAAGTGAATTGAGAATTGAATACATTTTTTTTAAAATCTACTCAGGGATAAAGGCTTAATATGGAAATTACTGTAACAATAAACAACTATATAAAATAATGTGATGGTCGTATTCCTTTGTGTGGTTATCATGTGTTAACAGTGATTCTGACTGGCTGGAGTGATGTGTGTTATGTTTTTAACTGACAAAGTGGCATAGATAAAAAAAAAAACATATAAAAAGACATCTATTAAACATGTATCCCCCCCACACACACACACACACAGACACTTTGAAAACTCTGTGTTAAGGTACACACTGGCACATATTAAGCTAATTGACCTTCAAAAATTTGCAGCAAAAATCCAACATAACCTTTTTGTACTGGTAGCAGCAGTAGAAGCACGGCATGCTGGGATCAGGTCATGCAGGTGTTGTTTAATCGGAGCGGTCAGTCTGCAGCCTGAGGAGCGTTTCATTTTGGGCAGGACGACCTTGATGCTTCGCCTGAGGGGGGCGGGGCTTCATCCCAATTGCGTTCACCTGGATCAGATTCAGCCCCGCAGAGAAGAGTTCACCTGAGGAGGGTCGAGGTCAGCAAGGAGGTCAAGTCTGCTGTCCAAACAGAAAACATCAAAGAGCTCAAATGTTGCTAGCGCTCCCTAGAGGCTGTAGTTGTTATTACAGCCAAAAAGACGTGACAGAGCAGCACAAAGACTTATTACTCAAGTTATTAAATTAACTGCAGCCAGGAGACAAAAGTATGCTCTGGGTTTTAAACGAGAGGCCAGTGCACAAGTGACCTAAACATGCATCTATCTAATGGCCAGCAGGGGGCGTTTCAACAGGAAGTTTGTCAGAAAATGTGCAGACTTCTGATTTGATTTATTCCCTCAGTAAACACATTCTTACTGAGTTTATGGTCTCAGTCTCTAGTTTCAGGTTTCAGCAGGATGTTCATTTTGTAAAAAATAAAGTAGTTCATACTTATGTCCTAATATGGTAATTTCTGGTTCCAATTACTTTAAAAAAGAATGGATAAATTCCAACACTCGTGGATTTAAAATGGCAGTCTTTACACCAATTGGTGACATCACAATTTCTACTTCCACTTCTTTACACTGTCTATGGGTAACTTGTGTTTGAAACCACTTGTATTCTCCTTGCGTTGTCTTCCATTGAAAGTCAGAATTCATTTTAAATTCCTTGTTTTTGTTAAAGCTCTGCATAATCAGGCACCTGTTTCTATCTGCTCCATCCCTACATCCCCAGCAGACCCCTCAGGTCTTCAGACCCGGGTCTACTTGATGTCCCTAGGGTCAGACTGGAAAAAAATAAATGATGTTGTTATTTATTGCTCAGACACTCTTCCTCTGCACTAAATTATTTTCCCTCCTTGAGCTCTTTAAACTAGTTGGAAAGTTGTGCACCACTTTGACACAGTTAATTATACAGTGAAGGTTTCACTTTTTACAGCTACGACCACCGATTGCATTTTTCACTTTGATGTGTTTGAGCGTTTTACATGTTGTCATTTTTAAGAAGAGGGAGAACACTTTCTACTCACCAGCTGCTGCCCCGTGATCACTGATGGAGACCTTTGGATGAGCCTACTGCAGCTCAACATCACCACCTGCTGTCCAAAAGAGGCACTGCAGCTTTTCTTTAAAGAAAAGATAAACTTGCAGGGAGGGTGACATGACTTTGTTATAGAGTTATAACAAAACGAGATTATGACACGAAATGATTCAAACGTCTGGTTTTTACACCCTTTATTTCCCCTTCAAGTGTTTCTTTAAAATATTCAGTCACATAAACTCAACTAACGATCTTCAGTAACGAATCGAATCAGCTGTTATACGGCGGGTAATTGAACTGGTCATGGAGCCACAAGTTGAAATATGGATGGGACTGCATTTCTTGTCTGTAACTCTGCCGTTATCTTCCAAAGTTATATTTCATATTAAAGAAGTTTCAGTGTGAGAAACCACTCTGAACTGATTAGAGGGACTTTACAACATTTTAGTCGCCTCTAATGAATTTATTGCACATTAACAAACACAGAGATCATTGTTGCATGTTTGTGAAATTAAAATGCAAAAAAAGCTGTTTTTTTTAAGGTGTTTATACCCATTAAACATTATTAGGACAAACAGAGGAAGACACTTTATTCCCAAATCCAACACCAGGATGTTTGAGAAAAACGTCAATGTCAGGGAAACATTTTATTTCTAATATTTAACTGAAAAGAGAAACTTAAATGTGAGTTCTGTGTGTTAAGTGCAGAGGGCTTGAGGTGGGATAACATTAGGTTAGTGCTGTACCTGACTCAGAATTTTGCTCGTCCAGTTCAATTTGAATCTAGACATTTTTTTTGTCTCAGCTTGGTGCTGCAGAGCTTCATGTTTCACCTGCAGGATGCATCGTCAGCAGAGTTATCCAGGAGCACCGCTGATCGCTGGATATTTGAGACAAATTTGAGACCCAGGCTATTTCTCCATGTTTTGAATCACAGTCGGTAGTTAGCTAAAGTCCGCGGGAACACAGTGAACCTCAGCAGTGAGTCTTTGATCTGATTCATCAACCAGCAGACATTACAGCCTGATTTACAGACACCAAGCTGAAACAAGCTGATGACTCCATATGCCAACTTCTTCAGAGCACCTTTAAAGCAGTGGGATCTGTTTAGCCTGGCTTTGTTTATGGTAAAATACAAATAAAGAATCTACCATCAACTCTGAAGGTCTCTAATAAACAGACATCAAAATGTTTTATTAACTTAGATTTTGTCTTAAGGGGGCATTAAATAGTGGATCCATATTTTTATTTAAGAACAACGATTGAATAACCATCTATCCAGGGGCGTGTCCAGAGGGGTGGCATTGGCCCCCCCTAAAGATCTGATTGGCCACCCGAGGTGTCACCCCAAAAATCCTCAACTGCAGTTGCCCTATTTGCCCTGTCAGAGGAGGGACTTATGTTTAAACCAACTATTAGGTTTTTTGTTTGCAAATGCTGCAGATATTTTTGTTTACATTTCAATGTCTTGGGGGCGGCTGTGGCTCAGTTGGTAGAGTCTCTCAACCGGTAAGTTCAGGTTCAATCCCCAGCTCCTGCAGCAACATGTCCGATGTGTCAGCAGCATATTAACGTATGAATGTGATTAGTTACTTCTGATGGACATTTTACAAAGCAGCCTCTACCATCAGTGTGTGAATGTGTAGGTGTGACCTGCGGGGTAAAAGAGCTCTCTTTAGTCAGAAGACTAGAAAAGAGCTTCACAAGCTCAAGTCTGTTTACCATTTATTTCATAAGACAGATCGCAAAGTAAAGTTATGCACTCGGTCTTACTTTCAGGGAACAAACTGGCAATGTGGACCAAAACTTAGCAAGTTAGACTGAGCAGGAGTTTGCATGCACGTTCAAAGTCCTTTAAATTGTGACTTCGAACATACAAATTGTTGTTATGTCATTAAAATCAAAGTCAAAAAAGTCTGGACACGCCCCTGCTTCTATCCTTTGCTTTTGTTTATCTCAAGTGGTGACAAAGACGACTCCATGGAGTCACAACACCCTCCTGTTTTTGTTTTTGTTTTTATATAAATAAATAAAGTCAGCACAGAACTCAGATAAAACTAAACCCAAAATGTCAAAATATGAATTTCAAAGTAATTTCACCGCAAAGAGAAAAAAAATGGACAAACCCAAAATAAATAAATAACAAAATAAGATATGAACGGAGTTTGGTGTATCCACCAAATCAGATTTAAGTTTTCCTCATCCTGTTTGAGCTGAACTCTTGATTCCTTCAGCTCTCAGCTCGAGGATTCACTGCCTCGCTCAGCAGACCGCCATCAGATCAAACCGACAACACGAGTCCCTCTCTGCCTTTCAGTGTGTGGTAAATGTGTTTGGGTAAAATCACGTATCCCTCTCCGAACGCCGCCGGCAGCTCGTGGTTCGCCTTTGGCTTCACGCACGCCGCCTTGAGCCTCTTCAGCTGAATCTCTTGCCGCCGACACTTCTGCTGCAAAGTCTTCAGCTTCTTCTTCAGACTCCCCACCTGCCCCTCCAGCTGCTCGATGCGCTTCTTCTGCCGAGCTGAGTCCTCTGCCGTGTAGTTGTGGTCGCAGGAGACGGACACCGTGTCGCCCCAGATGTCGGGAAGGCTCCTCCCTGGCTCCTCCATCACCGCCGCCACGGGGTCAGACGTCAGAGGAAGAGAGAGAGGGAAGTGGATCTCTGAGGTAAAGGGATCCTCCAGAGTCTGGGAGACAAAGAACAAACACACACTGTCATTTCGGTTCCCTACATCTTCTGGACAAGCGCCCGTTCATCTGTTTCTGGTGAGTCTCATTTTCACTGTGAATAGCAAGTTACACCGAGGCTTCATTCTGGCTTACCGTAGCCGTATGAAGCAGAATTTGTTTTTGTAAAATGTAATAAGTCATGCTCTGTCAGGTCTGTCCTCAAGAGGAGAGAAAAAAGCGACTTTTAAAATGTTTCTGATGCATACAAGGAAGTCAGGAAACCTGAATGCTAATTGACTTTCACAGATTTGCCGTTCAAGTTTAAATGTTTGATCTATAACAGATTGTTAGCAGCACTTGTAGGAGACTATGTGTTTACAGAGATTAATTAATTGTGGTCAGAGTACCGCAGATGTCATACTTGTACTCTACATAACTGCTGTTACGTGATTGGACAATACAAGCAAGACTACAAATGCACGACTACAAATGGAAACTGGAACACTTCCGATACTAAAATTCAGACCCCCTCCTACAAATTCTAGTTAAAATATCTTCCTTGGGCCCTGCCACTGAATAAGTGTGAACTCACCTTCATGTTGAGGTTGAGGGTGAAGAGCGACGGCACAGCGTTGTCTTTCAGCACTCGGTTGTTGCACTCCATCTTGAAGCAGTCTTTGGTGAAGTGCTGCGAGCAGATGTTGCTGTACTTTGTCGGCTTGAAGTTGTTCCTCCTCATCGCAGCGACCCATTTACCACAAACATCTGGACGGGCCAGAGGAAACCTAGGACATTAACCAATCGATCGATAATTACAAAATACATTTTGCACATCTGTGTGCATGAATTATCTTTGCTTTGCTGCTTTTTAGGAAGCAGGATGTGAGTTACACTTCCTTGTGACCTAGAAAATAAGTGAGCACAAAGGTCAAACAAGTAGATTAATGTTACAGGTAATGGTTTATTCAGTCCTCGTTCATACACGGCCTGCTCCGACCTCCACCTCAGCTGCAAGGTAGTGTGAACAACAGGAAAGCAAGTACTGTAAGGACTTGGTTTGGAAACCAGAGGGTTGCCGGGTCACGTCCCAGTGCAGACCAAGTCTGGAAATTGGTCTGGTAAAGTGACTTTTCTAACAGCCTAATTGACCATTAAAATCAGCCTAGGTGCCCGTGAGCAAGGCGGCGAACCCCTCATCAGCACGGGAGCGCTCGCTGTGTGCAGCCCCCCTCACTCTGACATCTCTCCATTTGTGCATCTCTTTCTGTTTGTGTATGTGTGTTTCAGCCTGTGTGTGTGTAGCATGTTCACAACAGAGTAAAATAGAACTTCCCCTTGTGATGAATAAAGTAAAGTAAATAAAGTATATCTTCTTATTCTAAATGAATAAATGGTATAAAATCATTATCAATAAGTATAGGATTCACAGTTTTAATAATATGCTAAGATAATGGGAAAACAGCTGAAATAAAGTTAAAAGTAAAGGATAAAAGATGGAATTATTAACTCCAAGAACTGAATTTTTTCCTAGGACAGTTTAGCTAAAATTTGCCTTTTGGTCAAAAGGTTTAAATGATTTTCCTAATGTATATTTGAATATGTAGCTAAACCCTGAGGATAAACAGTTGGGACGTCACTGCGTCACTGACCATTTATTTACCAACTTCAAACTTTGACCTGCAAGTCATCACCTTTCTCAACCTGCTGGGAATTAAACCTCACCTGACAATTAAACGTCAACATCTGCAGGTTTCATACTTTTATATAAAACTGTCAAAAATTAAAAACTGCTGTTAAACTTCAGACCTCAAACGTGAAGGGGTCTCCACATGTCAAACCCCGTCAGCCAATAAGCTAACGTTAGCTTGACAGGCTAACTCCAGTCCCCATTTACATGTCAAGGAGTTTATTATTACCGTTTATTTGGATAAGGAAAACACGCTTGAGGAAGTGTTAGTAAGTCTTCATATGCATTTGTAGGATGTCATGGACAATTCGGCAAAATAAAATCAATAAAAAAAGTGTTTTGATTAAGTTTTAACACGACATAAAGTGTAATGTTTGGGTATCGCGCTCGTGAACTACAGTGGACGTTAACTTGTTACGTTAAAGGGAAGGGGGCTGTGAGACTGACAGTAGAACTTGATGCAAAACTTAAAATTAATCAGAGTAAGATGGTTTTAGGTGAGTTTTCTGACAGCCGAATTAACCAGTAAAATCTGCCGGATTAAGCTACCTTTCTCTCGAATTGTAACACCACAGTACTGTTGAGTATGACCACCAAACCTTTAAAAGGGGAGATTAGTAAACGAGGACTGGTGATCTGTCTTCTGGTTCTCTACAGGAGTACACTTCAGCGCTTATTCAACATGTTCGGACAGTTAATGCTAAGTAGCACACACAGACACACACACAGTTTAAATGGACCTACTTGTGGAACGAAATGTCTTTGTCTTTGTTGTAGCGGTTCTTACAACCGTACGCTGAGCACGTCTGAACCATGACTACTGCTGCCCGGACGACACGCGCTGAGACACGGACTGATCCTCGAGGAAGCTCCGCCGGGTCTCTTCTTCCTCGGGTCTCACGCTCCTCACTGGCTTCACTGCCACTAACAAAGATGGCGGCGAAAATTGATACCATACGCGGTCATGTGACTTCATAATCGACCCAACAAATATGACAATGTGAAATGGATTTTAAACAATTTAGATATTTTATGGCATAAAAAAAAAAAAATCAATTTGGCTCTACCATCAATATGGAAGCCCTAAGTGGACATATATCCATACTTCTTATTTTACTCTGTTTTCCCAGATAACAATTATCCTTCATTTCATTTGTTTTTTACTCATTATCACAGGAAACCCAGCTTTGTTTTCTTGAGCGGTAGCGAGCTTAAGGGGGGAAAACATAGGCTGTTCCTTATCATGGGAAAACAGTAAAATGACACATAAAGATGTCTGACCCAGGGCGCTGATGGCCTCACAGTTAGGTTGCACGTCACGCCCCAAGTAGGCCTACAGAGGCCATAGTTCTCAAAGTGACTGCAAAGTTTCAAGTCCGACCTGCAGCTCCTTTTCCACATCTCATTCCCTTCTCACTCCTGATTTCCTCCACCCACTGTCCTATCTAAATGGTAAATGGACTTCAGCTTGTGTAGCGCTTTTCTAATCTTCTCAATATACTCAAAGTGCTTTTACACAGCAGGTCACACCTACACATTCACAAACTGATGGCATAGGTTGCAGTGAGACCATCAGAAGTAACTAATCCCATTCATACGCCTACATACGCCACAGACGAAGCAGCGGGGACAATTAAGGATTAAATGTCTTGCCCAAGGACATGTGGCTGCAGGAGCTGGGGTCTCTTGATATATTATTTTCAACACTAGAGACACTGGATGCACAGGGGTGTGTGTATATATTGTGGCACAGGTGACAGGGCGGGGTAGGCACAGGTATGGGGAGCACATACAGCACTCACCAGACTCACCAGCATTCATGGTTCAGACCAGCACTCAGACAAGCAACAGGTATTCCACTAGCTGCACCCCTACCTGTGTATTAATGGCAATAATTTAAACATATTCAAAAAATTGCCATTACAAGCATGTCTTTAGACTGTGGGAGAAAGCCGGAGAACCCAGAGTGAACCCACACCTGCAAAGGGAGAACATGCAAACTCCACACAGACAGGCCCTGACCCCTGGAACTCAAGGTCCCAGAGTTCTTAGCGCTTTCGACGTCTCTTTGAATGGAACGTGGAACTGGCTATCCTGATGTTTCGCTCAGCCTCTATTTAAAACCTCGGTTTGGACAGTCTATGGTTTGGATAAAATACGTGACGTCTTAAATTACGTCATAGACGTGACAGCGCTGATCAGCAGCACATGCCGAGCGCGTCTGTCCTTTGGTGCGTTCCATACTCTTTGTTGCGTCACGAAACTCATGAAACCGAGGTTATGAAGAGAGGTCGTTTGAGCCAGCAGAGTTACTTCACTCTCTTCTAAAGACGGTGTAAGTGCTCTGTGTACCCGGGACTCCGGTCCCCGGCGGAGGCTGGAATACCCCTCCGGTGCAGGTTTAAAAACACCACGTGCATTGCACAACCGCTCGTGGTGGGCCTGTACCAACCTGCCAGTGCCCGACAGTGTGAGCATGGCCATCCGCTCTCGGGGGGCCTGGTCTAAGACCTCGCTGGTAGGACAAGACTCCCTTGAAGGGGAGCCACAGAAACTAGACGGGGTTAGACTAGACAGGGGGGAGGGATAGATAGAGAGGGATAGATAGATAGAGAGGGATAGATAGATAGATAGATAGATAGATATCTATCTATCTATCACATAAATAGGCTACATACACACACACACACACACACATACATACACATACATACACACACATACGTACACACACACACACATACACACATACATACATACCTACATACATACATACACACACACGCATACACACACACACACACACACACACATACATACATACACACACACACACACACACACACATACATACATACATACACACATACATACACACACATACATACATACACACACACATACATACATACATACACACACACACACACACACACACACACACATACATACATACATACACACACATACATACATACATACATACATACATACATACAGTACATATATTATGTCTATACAAACATAGAGTCTCCATATTTTCTGTCTCTTGAAGGAGACACATTATTATTATTAGTAATATTAAAACAGAAAGTTTGTAGTTACAGACATTTAATCTATTTCTTGATGAATCTGATAATGTGATCTGAACTGAGACTGATGTATGACAGACAGTTCAAATAAAATGACATGCAGGGAAGGAGACACAGGTCAGATTTGAACCTGGGCCACCCGCTTATAGAGGACTATAGCCTCCATACCTGTGACGTGCACACTAACCACAAGCCTACCGTCGCCCCTTCATCCTGATATTTGAGAAACATCTGCAGGAGCTCTCACTAAGCTTGAGTACAGTGCCCATAACCTCAAAACTAGCAAACATTTATATCTCATAATAAGCTGCAGGAGTGAGAGTCATGACTCCATGAAGGCATAACAAATGGGAAATAGTTGTCTCATTATTGACCTTAATGTTCTTAAAGCTCCTGAGGAGTTTTAAATGTTTATGAAATATAAATCAATATTAATGCCAAAGTAATGACAAGATCAGACAGATCACATGAAACACAATATAAGATAATTATGTGACACCTGAAATATGGATTAAATATAATGACACTTGCCCTGCAACGTGTCAGAAATGCCCAAATCAAGTGGGCACATATTAATGTGGTCATGTCCATTGATCACAATGTTCTGCTCCTCTGTTCAAACAGAAATTGAGAGATTCCTTGTCTGTACAACAGAAATGGACACAAAACTATGTGTTGTTGGTGTAAGCTCCATGTCAGGACAAAAATGGTCAATGTCATGTTGACTGCAGTAAGCCTTTCAATCCTGCATGTTTGGCTTGATGTACATGCACCCACGTTAAGAATTTGGTTTGATAAATTATTATGAATTCTTCCTTACTGGAAGTTATCCAGTAATTGTATCATTTTATTATCTAGAATTAAAGACCCTTCTGAAATATCTCCTTTTAATTACCAGAAATAAATTATTATAAAACCCACTCAATGAACTGCAGGTATTTACTCTGCAGTCTGCCTCTAGTGGACATTTGAAGAACTACATGTATTTACTCTGCAGTCTGCCTCTAGTGGACATTCTATGAACTGCAGGTATAAAGGCTATGGCTTTGGTTGGGTAATAAAACCTAAAGCAAAGGACTGTAAGGTCAAAAATATACTTTTTAACTCTTCTTTTTCTATCAGTGATGTTTCTATTTGGTTGTTTCCAGACATTAAGATCTTATCATAATGGAACTAAAGAGAGAATGGGAAGAGAGTGATAAGTCAGTACATAAGAAGTAAATATTACAGTTATATAGATGTTTATACAGATGGATCCAAAGAGTAGGATAGGTATAGTAATATGTATACCAACAGTGAATGTAAGTATTTGGACAAGGTTACCTGGTCAGCTGTCAGTCTACATGCAGAAATGATGGCTCATAGGTGGAGGAAGTAAAACCAGATAGAGTGGTATGTTGTGTTGATTCCTTAGCAGCCCTATATAGTATTCAAAATATGAAAACTAAAAGAGAAGATTTAATGTTAGAAATCCATCAAAGTTTATTTAGATTGCGTAAACTTCTTCTAGATCTGAGATTTTGTTGGGTACCTGCTCATGTAGGTGTAAAGGAGACGAGAGGGCAGACAAAATAGCTTTAAATTCAACCAAGAGCAGGGATGAAGGATAAAGTGGACATCAAATGTATGAATGTTGCTCAGTAGACGATTATCTGTAATATTCGCCCAGATAGAAAAATGTTTGTTTGATTTTTTTTCAAGTGAAGTGTAATTTGATTGTTAATAAGATGCTAATATAAAAATCCCTCCTCTGTTGTGTTCCCGTCTCCCTCTCAGCGCGTTGTGATGCCTCGACTGAATGAAACTTTCTCAGGTTGTTTTATTCAACTACAAATCAAATCTGTTTCCTCCTGCAGAAGTCTTGACTTCAAAATGCTGATTGATGAGTCAACAAACTCACTAGTTACTTAATCAGCTTTAAATAAGCTGAGTTAACCTTTATAGTCTGTTACTGTTTAGCATAGAAAAGTGTCAACAATCCTGCAGGATCTACAATACTTTCTGTCCAATCAGGGCCTTCGTCTCCTACTTAAACATCCAGGTTTGACTAAAGAACTCTGGTAAAGATCAGATGTCACTCAGAGTTATGGTATTCAAATGTAAGAAAACAACCTTGAGTAAATTGAATCATTCTAAGCTGAGAAACAGAAATGTGACAAGTGACCACTTTCACTTGGATGTTAAAATACTTCTGTAACAACACCCTCTGTTTTCATCTCTTGAAGTTCTGTTGAATATATATTTTTATTCCTGTAAAAAGCTCTGTTGATCCTGTTGTGGGAGATTCTGGTGGCTGCTCCGGGTCCCTGAACGCACCACGGCACCAATAAATAAAGAGATAAGAGATTAAAACTGGCTGAGAATTTTGTCTTCATTTTATCTCACAAAAACTTTTAATGTATTTAATTTGAGTTCTACAGATGATTGTTGCCTTGATTTAAGGGGAATGACATTAAAAGACTTGAGGTGTTGAGGGGTTACAATCAAACATGCAGGTCAGTGGTCAGAAATAATATAGATAAATGGATATTGATTTGTGATGATCAAATTGAATTCAGCTTTATAATTAAGTTATACAAAGTCAAGAGTCAGTAAAATGAAAAGATCCTACAGTAGCTGTGTTATTCAGTTAAGAACCTTTTCATCTCCGGACCTATCCATCCATTCACTTTTTTTATACATCCAACCGACTACCTACCTACATCAACTACCAACCTACAAGGCTACACCCCCTACCTATACACCAGCTACCATCCAACCTAACGAGCATGTCTTTGGACTGTGACAGGAAGCCCCTCCACACAGCCAGGCCCTGACCCCTGGAACT